GCACCAGGCGGTGAGAAGGCCACCGCGGGAACCATCAGCCGGGGTAGCATGGTAGGCGTCGAGGTTAGACGGGAGAAAGGAACGAACGCAGCGATCGTTAACGGTATTGAGCTTTGTCTCCTGGAGACAGGCCAGCTGCGGATGGCATTTGGTAATGTTGTCACGAACAGCAACACATTTTATCATCTTGGCCGAGGCCGCGGACATTCCATGAGAGTAAGATAAAACAACGACAAGAACGTTTCATGGGTTCAAACTGATACAACAGGTGGACGTAGGAGCACTAAAACAGGTGGAGTCACAGACGATGGCTAGGCAACGACAAACACAACAAGGTACAACAAACTAGCTGGGGGATGAAGACACCGCACCCCGGAGAAGATCCTAGGATGAAAGGTAGCACTGATCATGGGTAGCGCCAGTGGCCGCAGCCACCGCAACAGCACGACGCCCGTCGTCATCAAGGCCGGTCTCCTGTGCCAGACGATTCAGGTCCAGAGCATTGAGGGTGTTCTTCTTCTTGAGGACCCGGCTGGAGGTGACCTGCTTCTTGAGTTCGTCGGAGCAAGGCGCGAGGCTCTCACGCAAGGCCTTGCGGGACACCGCCTTGGAAGTCATGTCGATGAAAGTTCCGGAGTCCCTAGCCGCAAGCCTGGTGCTGGCGCGCAGCGGAGTAGTGCGCGACGACGAGGCAGGCGCGGCCCTGGCCGAAGGGCGGCGACCGCGGCGCGGACGCAGCAGAGGAGGCGAGGCAGTTGGAGATTTCGGAGGCGGCGGCGGGTTGACCGACGGGTTGACCTCAACAGCATGCCAAGGCAGAGCACCGGGGTGGAACGGAGCGGCAGGGATGGCGCCCGTTCGGCCCTTCCCAGTGGCACCGAGGGGAGGATAACAGGGAAACGGGGCAGAGGTGCCACATGTGTACATACTGAAGAGCCTCAGTACAGATGAATAAACTCTTTCCATTTTCCAAACTTGCCAGCCGAGCCGAGGTTGTTGAACGTACTTTACGTATCCAATGATCCGATCCTGCCTCCATCTGGAAGCTACTAGTCCTTTGAAAACCATACGTAGGCCGTGAACAGCAATGTAACGTGTGGAGAAATCAGCACTAAAGTTCATGGGTGTCACATCAGGTGTTATATGGGAGTATTTGATAGTAATGAATCTGTCATTAGTATATGTTTATTGTAGCACCACATTGTCAAATTATAGACTAATTATGTTTAAAAAATTCATCAAAGTAGTCGTAATTTATACAATTAGTTATTTTTTAGTTTATATTTAATACTCCATGCATATGTTCAAACATACGATATGATAAGGACTAAATTTGAGAGGAAGGGACTAAACAAGGCCTTGGTTTCGTGGCTCCTGACTTCCTGCACTTTAATAATTTTATTAACAAGGCCTTAGTTTCCATGGCTCCTGACTTCCTGCACCTTAATAATTTTATTATTATCTGGCGTACTCTCGCTCGGTGCGTTGAAATTGAAACCGCAACCCCAGGTCGTCCAGCGATTGTTTGGGTCGCATCGCATGCCATGCCATGGTTCGTCGTTCGAGGAATCGAGGATGAAGTTTCCAGCCAGTGTGGCATCGAAGTCGATCGGATTCTCGGAGGGCGGCGCTTACACGGCCCGATCGGATCTATCTCGCGTGCGGTAGCCGTCTCCGACGGCCAATACTTTGACTGACTGGCCGGCGCGCCGCAGCAGCGGCAACCGCTTTTACTAGTGGCATGGACGCGGTTGCTATCCGATCCCAAACAGAGCAAAAGCCAGACGACACGCACTGCTAACTAATCCCTCTGTCCTTAAATATTTATTGCTATTGACGTGGTGTCACAAGTTTGACTCGATTTATAAAAGATACTTGCAACATTGATATCTTTAAATAAATTTATTAAAAAACTAAATTCAAACATATTTTTAATAATACTAATTATGTATCATAAATATTAATATTTTTTAATATATATTTAGTCAAAGTTGGTTCTCGAAAAACGAAAACGATAAATATTTTAGGACGGAGTCGATAGACGATTTGTATCGGCCATGAAACATGGAATGGCCAACCCAATCCATCATATCGATCCAGCCAGCCCGGTCCACCGCCCAGCATCACACTCATGACTCATCATCTTTACACCCATGTCGATTGTATCACGATGCTATTAGCCATCAGCAAGAACGGCGTCCACACGCCCGGGCTGATCGAAAGTGATCCTCTTTTGTCGCACCTCGAACGCGTCCGCCGCGACTACGTGTGTTTTTGTTGGTAGGCACCGGCTCAGTCTTCTCTTCCCCACCCAAACCAACCCTGCCGGAGTCATGGCATGGCTTCCCTAAGGGCACCTCCAGTGTACAAGCGAACCGAACGGTTCGGGGACAACGAATTGAAGTATGGTTTGATAACCCCAGTGTATGCATCGGTTTTTGTGGGCCCCACATACACTAAAAAATTTTCTCTCCCTTGCGGTTCCCTTCCTCGCGCGAGCAGACAGAAATATCCGCCTAATCTTCATCCCGGCTGCCTCATCTTTCCTCCCGTCGTCCCCTCCCTCCCTCTCCTCAATAGAATTAGCCCTTGACCATATGCATTCAATGGTACAGGAGAGCTCCCTTGCTCATAGTTATAGTCATGGCGACCTTGATAAGCCTCTCTCTCATCCTCGACGATCATGTTATGCATTATAATGCAAGCATACATGATCTCACCAAGAGTCCTTGCTTGCCACATACGTGCTGGGGTACGTAAAATGACAAAATGAGATTGCAACACACCAAATGCACATTCAATATCTTTTCTTCCTTATTCTTGATGCTGAGCAAATAGCTGGTGCTTCTCATTCTTCACACATTAAATGCAGGTGAGCTAGTACCAACATTTATATTTGATGGCAAAAGGACAGAATAAGGTAAGATTCTATGCATTAACATTACATATTTGGATGAGCATATTACAACACATATGATAGGAATTCTAGCCTACATTACAACACATGATAGCAAATCTAGCCTACATTACAACATATGATAGCAATTCTAGCCTACATGATTAGCACAATACATACTGCCCAACAAACCTATGTCCCTCTACCATATATGTCATCAGATAGGAAGTCTAGCATTTTCTTTAAACTTGCTTTCTGTTCCTCACTGTATAAAGAGGTGTCAATCATCAGCAGTTCCTTGTACTCCTTGATTTTTTCCACCTTCACCTTCTCCTTCTCAGTTGTAGCATGTTGAACCAGTGCTTGAGCATGTTCTCTTGTAGCTGCAGCCATGTTATCTATTGCCACTTTTTTTCCCTACCTGGAGACTATTGAACTGTGCAACATTTTCATCTGATAACCAGGTCTTCCCAGCCTTACCCTTTCCCTTCCGCTGCTCTTTTGCCGCTTTCTGCCCTTGTGGTCGACGACGTTCAGTTGCCTCATCAGTGTCTCGATTTGAAGAAGAAGTGTAAGCTCCTGAGGCAGACACCTTGGTTCTCTTATTCCTAATGTCAGCAGCCACATCTCGATGAAACCATTTGGGTTCGTCCATCACCACTTTCCATCAGTACTCAAATGGGAATGGCTTGTTAGTTTTCTTCACCCTTTTGTATTCTGCATGAACCTTCTCGATTAGTTGCTCATCAGATCGGCCACTTTCATATGTGTTGCTTATTTCTGTCCAACATCCATGGAACCTTGTGACAAGTGCATTGGTTGTATTGTAATGGTTCTTGCATTGTGTAGGTGTTCTTTTCCTGTCCTTAGGAGCATGCTTGTTGTACTCAGCAGCAACTTCCTTCTAGTAACGAGCTCTTGCCTTTGAATTGCCATCAATTGGGTCATTTGAGTTGTTGATTCAAACACTTAGCAATCGCATGTTGTCTTTTTCAAACCAATACATGCGCCCACCTTTTTTTCCTCATCTGAACCAACATCACTCCATTCTTCAATCGTAATTGGATCTTTGTTTGTATTCTCTATAGGAGGTATTGGAGAGTTTACCGGTGAAGCTGAGCCCTCACATCTTGAACCATTCCCACCACCAACTCCAAACAATGACGCTGAAGCAACCGGTGATGAAGGACCACTGGCCATATCCGCACCATGGAAATTACCATGGAAAGGAATGCCATGCTGGTATCCTAAACTTGGGAGCCGCTGGAAACTTGGAGGACCTCCAAATGGATGGAAACTTTGTGGGTAGAAGGAAGTTTGAAAGTTGAGACCAAACTGATATGGTGGAAAGTTCATGGAAAATGGGGGCTGCAGGCCATGTTGTTGGCTGATTGTGTTGTGTTGATCTGAACTTGTCATTGCAGAGTTCATCATATTTGTGAAACTAGGTCTAGATGAGTTCTTCATATTTCAAGTATAGTGTAATGATTAGTGTATAAATTGGTATGCATCCAAAGATCTTATATATATATACACACACACGCGAGGAAGCAGGCAAGCCTGCCTGGGCCAACGGCCATGTGCCCTGTAGTTCAATAAAATAATCGGCTGGGTTCGGATGGTCTGCAAATCGCTTTTAGTTCTAACACGTATGGTTCGTATGATCCAGTGTCTACGGTTCGGCTCGGGTGTCCATGGTTCGCTTCCACCCCTCGGCCTTGTTTACGTCACCTCCAAATTCAAGTTTTTTAGCTCTTTTTCTATCATATCAATTTTTGAACGTATGTATGGAGTATTAAATGTAGATAAAAAAATAACTAATTATATAGTTTGGTTGTAAATCACGAGATGGATCTTTTGAGTCTAGTTAGTACATGATCGGATAAAATTTGTCAAATATAAATAAAACGTGCTACGATATTCAGGTTACAAAAATTTACAACCTAATCCAGGCCCAACACTGGAGATGCTCTAATCGTGTCAGAGTATATATAACCACCTCGGCTGCGAGCCGTCCGTCCATTGCCACTTCTTCCACTCGCACAGTGGCACTGACCACCCAACGCGTCCCCAACACCTTCGCAGTCCCTGCGTCGCGGTTGCCATGGCCGTGCAGGCGCGGCACTTCTCGCACGACCTAGCCCCGGGGGCGGGCGGCTCCCTGTTCCTGGACGAGCACGCCGGGTGCGTCCCGGCACCGGCCGGGATCGGGGACGCCACGACGGTGCTCAGCGACTTCCCACGCAGCGAGCTCGCCTGGTGCAACTACGGCTTCCTGCCGAGGAAGCGGCCGCGCCTGGAGGCGGGTCCGGCGGCGCCAGCAGAGGGTACTGATTTCTTGGAAGATCAACGCGTGGGTATGCCTCCGGCGTGCACGGAGCGCCTGCTGCCAGTGCCACCGTTCGTCGACGACGTGCGGAGCTGGGCGGTGGGCTCCGGCGCGGCGTCCACCAGCGGGAGGGTGGCAAACGGCGCGACGACCGTCGCCTCGCGGGAACTCCTGTCGTCGTGGACGCACCACAACGGCGTGGAGATCGACGCGCTCGTTCGACTCGAGGTGCGTACGGCCATTGTTCGATCGAGGTTTTAATCTGTCGATTCGTCATTAACAGGAATCGATCGACGTCTTCACCAGATGGCATGGTGTCTAATCTGTGACATGGTGTTGCGCAGGCAGAGAGGATGCGCGCGGCGCTGCAGGAGGCGCGGCGGAGGCACGCCCGAGCGCTGCTGGCCGCCGCGTGCGGCGCCGCGTCGGGGCGGCTGCGCTCGTCGGAGACCGACCTCGAGCGCGCGCTGCGCCGCAACGCGGAGCTCGAGGAGAAGGTCCGCCAGGCGGGCGCGGAGTGCCAGGCCTGGGTGGGCGTCGCCAGGAGCCACGAGGCCGTCGCCGCGGGGCTCCGCGCCACGCTGGACCAGCTGCTGCTGCAGTCACCCTGCTGTGGTGCTGCGCCCGCGGGCGGCGGTGAGGCCGAGGATGCGCAGTCGTGTTGCTTCGAGGCGCCGCCGGCGGCCGCGCACGCCACCGAGGACGGCGGCGCGTGCGCGTCCAGGTCCGCCAAGTTGGCGTGCAAGTCGTGTGGCGGCGGCGAGGCGTGCGTGCTGCTGCTCCCGTGCCGGCACCTGTGCCTGTGCCCCGTGTGCGAGGCCGCCGTGGACGCATGCCCCGTCTGCGCCACCACCAAGAAAGGCTCGCTCCACGTCCTCTTCTCCTGAACTGAAGGACGTCGTCATACCATGTTCGTCGTCAACGGGTAGCGTCTCAAGAGGCCATGGGCCATGGCACGAGACGAGGTCACGAGGCTTGCTGTTTCGTTGCCAGAGCGCGGTAGATGCGATGCGCCGCTTGAGTGCCACACGCCGATGCTGGGAAGGAGATTCTGGGGCCAAAGTGCAACTGCAATGGCACAAGACGTCCTAGGGAATCGTGCGATGGTCATTCAGTTAACCGGAGGTAGCCGCAGAAGTGGATCGGAGACGATGTCCAACAACGAAGAAAAATGTTCTCTTCACAAAGCCACCACTCACCAAGCACAGTTGGATGCTGGAGATCGTTGTTCTGGTGGAGATTGGCAAGGGTTTAATCAAGTCCTTGAGGCGTTGTCGGACTATTGCTTCTGATTCTGAAGAATGGTACCGGTGTGCGTTACCGTGATTGCTGGTAAAACTCTAACCTGATAGCGCTGCACCGTGGCATACCAAGTAGGAGATGAATGATGATCGCGTCCATGTACAGTACATGTTTTTAACATGAAAATTAAAGGAGGGGTTCTGAATGGTGAAACTAATGTAAAACGATGCTAATGTCGCTGTAGAAATTAAGTGACCATTTGGTGGAGCTTCTTCACCTGTTCCTGAAGCCATTTCAGAATGTTCCCAGCCAAATAGAGGCAGCTCCACGTGTGAAACCGTGGGAACTATGCCCTCATAACGCCGGGGGGACGGCAGTTTCGGAGACATAAGCTTTTCAGAGTCCGGACAATCCTCGTTATGTAAAAATATTTATCTAGCATAATGTTCTTCAATTGTAAAATTTTGTGAATTTCACCGACAAGCCTGGCTCATCCGGCCGCCTAGGTTGTCCGAACGATGCCTCCAGCACCGGCAGATGGTGGAGCTGAAAAAAAACCAACTTCGGGTGCGTGGACGGGGATGCCCCTAAAAACGCCTCCTTCCCGGCGAGCCCGTGCAGATGGTGAGGAAAGAGGCGGTGGCACGACTGGCGAGGCGAGAGAGGAGACCGTGGTGGTATCTCAGATGGCGGTAAGGTGAGACATTGCAGGGGCATAAGTGCGTGCGGTAGAGGCAGAGGCATCGCAGACGGGATAAGGCGGAGAGAGAAGAGAAAGGAAAGAGAAATAAGAGAGGAAGAAAAATGCAGGAAGAAAAACAAAAGGGGGAAAATAAGAGGATATTATGGATATTTCACTCTTTTTTTTCTAACCAGACAAACTAGAAAAAAATAAGTCGCTTGATCAGATAAGCTATAACTGATCTGTTCCCTCTAGCTAACGGAGCATACAAACGAGGCGTGCATCATGCCGTGAGCTAGTGACATCGTTGTCCTAGCTAGTTTACATGTCCACTTGCTGTACGCCAACAGTGGTGGTTAGAGGAAACATCGTCTAAACAGGGACAGTAACTTGAAAAGATTGGGCAGCACAAGCACGACAATGACTCGCTAATCCATTGCATCGATCCATGCTGGCCGATCCATGGAAGGGCCGGCATGTGTTCGGAGCGTGCGCTGCCTGTAATCTGCCGTGAAACATGCCGCGCACATTGGCGGCTCTATTACACTACTGTACTCGATCGCTGCCGCTAGCTGTCTGTGGTGGTGCCGTCCTCGTCCTCCTCCTGAGATCACTGCAGATGATGATGATACCTGCCTCAAAAACTCATAATGAATTGGCATGAGTATGACCTTCCATTAAACTTGGGCAGGATGATGGGTTTGTAAGATAGGGGCCAAGGTGAGCTTTATATTTCTTCGGAAAGTGGAGATTTTGAATCCATGGTTCTGTGGACTGTAGGTGATGATGTGAAAGGTGCGCCGAAGGTTGGTTGGGCGGCTCTTCTCGGCGAAGGGTTGGGTTGGCTTTCGTTTGTTGACTGAGGCTGGATGGGTGTGTTGGAAAGAGGCTAACCAGGCTGCATGCTTTGAATATCTGCCTGTAAAACAACCAACTGCTGCCTGATCTCTACGGCTTGAAGTGATGCCTGGACTACCCTTTGGCTTATAGCGAAGGTCGCCACCAACCTATCTCTTTCTTGCTGCGTACTCTGTAACTGGGCTTAGAGCTGCTGGAGCACTTGCTCTAGGGTTAGTTCTGGCGCTGGCTGTTCCTCGGTCGCCACAGGCTGATCCTCCGTGGCATCTTCTTCTATGTGCAGCTCCTCGGTCGCAGTAGCGTAGGTGCTGCGGGCGTTACGCCTGGGCCTTCCTCTTGTGGTAGGCTCCGAACAGGGGCGGATCTGCCACTGGGGCTAGGGGGCTCGAGCCCCCCTGTCGGTGCAGAAAGTGACCAACACGTAAATATTTGTAGTTTTGCCGTACGTTGTGATCAGATGTGGCCTAGCACTCAATGATACAGGGTTTATACTGGTTCAAGCAACGTGGCCTACGTCCAGTTTGAGTCGGTCGATGACTTTATCCCTGAGCCTAGGTGCTCGAAGTTTGCAGTGGGGTTACAAATGAGAAGGAGAAAGATGAGGGTGACTTTATTCCTGAGCCTAGGTCGGACTCTGGTCTGGAGGACCGAGAGCGATGGGAGCTCCTACGTGAGTTGGGTGTTTGAGCGTGTGCTCGAGCTTTGAACCCGGTGGTTCTATTATTGTGTGTTCTTTGATGGAGAGTTGATCTGAGGTCCCCTATTGGGAGGGAGCGCATCCCCTTTTATAGATTAAGGGGACATCCTTACAAGTGAGAGAGAGAGTATGTATGTTTGGTAAGTCTTGTTGCTCATGTCGCCGGATACAAGGTGATTGTAGACGCCCACAATACTATTGATGTCAGACGCATGGGAGGTTTTACCATGTTCTACTAGGTACGGTAAATGCCCGCTCCCACAACACTGTAGATGCCCAGATGCACGTGGGGGGCCTTACCGCGTTTGCCTGGTATGGGAATTGATAGCGCCCACAACACCGTAGGGTAAATGTCGGCGCTCTCAACACTGTTTTGGGCTCTGACATGCCTGGAAGGTTGCAGGGTACCCTGATCTGTCCTATCGGTACTGTCCTGCAGGTGTACAGGGTACGGTTCTTAGCGTTGCGGTTGACTTGAGCGTCGTGTCTTACTTGCTCTGTCCATTGCCTGGATCCTTACCGAGCGGGCATCAACGGTCGGTTGGTTCCCCGTCAGCTTCGACTGTGCCAGTCGGAGAAGAGCTGTAAGCAGAGGTTTGGTGCACCCCCGGTCGGAGACATGGGCCAGAGTCGGAGGCGGCATTGGCCAGGCCTTCCGGTCGGAGAGGTGGGCTGAAGTTAGAAGCGAAGCCTTGTGGTCGGAGAGGCGGGTCGGAGTCAGAAGAGAGCGTCGTTCCTCTTTGGCCAGGCCTTCCGGTCAGAGATCGGATCGCCCTTCTGGCCTATCGTTAGGTTTTTGGGCCGGCCTAGGAGTTGTGCGTCATTTGCAACGTCGTTCGCTGGGCCGAGTCTTTGCTGGAAGGCTGGTCCATGAGGGACCCCAGGTTTATGAACCCGACAGGAGCCCCCGAGCCCCCAGGTGATTCGGGTAGAATCGTCTGGGTTTTTTTATCTTTGACAGCGAGTGCGCATGAGCGCACCAGCGGGTGTAGCCCCCAAGCCCCTGGGCGATTCGGGTAGAATCGTCCTGGGGGGTTTTCCGTGTTGCTAGCGGGGTAATTTTTTATTTTGACAGCGGGTGCGTGCGAGCGCACCCGCGGGTGTAGCCCCCGAGCCCCCGGGCGATTTAGGCAGAATTGCCTAGGGGTATTTGTCAGCGGGCATGTGCGCGTGCACCTTGGTCGAGACAGAGTCATTTTTCAACTAAGGCGTCATGCGCAGTCGAGGCAGTTTTAGGGATCGGGCGAGGCCAGCTCGCGGATCCTAGCATCGGGCGCAGCCGAGGGATCGGGCGAGGCAGACTCGTGGACCCATCGTACGTAGCCAAGGTAGTTTTAGGGATCAGGCGAGGTGAGCTCGTGGATTCTGGCGTCGGGCGTAGCCGAGGGATCAGGCGAGGAGGACTCGTGGACCCATCGTGCGCAGCCGAGGCAGTTTTAGGGATCGAGCAAGGCGAGCTCATGGATCCTAGCGATGGGTGCAGCCGAGGGATCAGGTGAGGTGGAGTCGTGGACCCATTGTGCATAGCCGAGGCAGTTTTAGGGATCGGGCGAGGAGAGCTCATGGATCCTGGTGTCGAGCGCAGCCGAGGGATCTGGCAAGGCGGACTCGTGGACCCCTCGTGCGCAGCCGAGGTAGTTTTATTGATCGAGCAAGGTGAGCTCACGGATCCTAGCGTCGGGCGTAGCCGAGGGATCGGGCGAGGCAGACTCATGGACCCCTCGTGCGCAGCCGAGGCAATTTAATGGATCGGGCGAGACGAGCTCACAGATCCTAGCGTCGGGCGTAGCTAAGGGATCGAGCGAGACGGACTCGCGGACCCGTCGTACGCAGCCGAGGTAGTTTTTAGGGATCGGGCGAGGCGAGCTCGCGGATCCTGGCGTCAGGCGCAGCCGAGGGATCGGGCGAGGTGGACTCGCGGACCCATCGTGCGCAGCCAAGGCAGTTTTAGGGATCGTGCGAGACGATCTCATGGATCCTAGCATCGGGTGCAGCCGATGGATTGGGCGAGGCAGACTCGTGGACCCATCGTGCGCAGCCGAGGCTATTTAGGGAACGGGCGAGACAATCTCGTGGATCCTAGCGTTGGGCGCAGCCGAGGGATTAGGCGAGGCGGACTCGTGGACCCATCGTGCACAGCCAAGGCAGTTTATGGATCGGGCGAGATGAGCTCGTGGATCCTAGCGTTGGGGTGTTTGGGCGTCTCGAGCCCCCGAGCCCCGTTGGGCTCAGAAGGGGTTGGTTGAGTTTCGTGCGTTACCCCGACCGTAGTTTTAGCAACCGGAGGGGCTGAGCTAACGTCGCTTGCCTCGATGGCTCGAGTGAAGTGCTCGGTGAGCTCGCTAACAGGCACGTTCGAGTGAAATCTGGGTCCATCGTTCGTGACAGGGTTGGCATAGCCCTCATGT